CAACAGAGACAAAGGTTTGGAATTCACAAACCGTCCCCATAAAACTGTTTTTATTTTTGCTGTTAACGTTCCCATCAAATCTGTGCAGACAATGTTGCTGATGACCAGAACCAAAAATCAAAAAGGGCCTTTTATTGCCTTTTGTACCAATCACAACAAGGCTGGTTATGGTATGGAAAAAAATCAGCTCTGCTTTTAGCTGTGCAGCAAAAAACATTGCTCATCACAGGAGCAGGGAGACTTAAAAGTGCCCAGGAAACAGGTTAAGTGGGAGATTTTGTACAGCATTGCTCTAAGAAAAACATCTAAGGCTTCTCTTCACAGGAAAGTGATTGTGAAATAACTAGAGCATCTGTGCAGGGTCGGTAAGTCTTTCAGTTTTCCCCTTCCCCCATCCAAACAAGCACAAAAGAAATGAACTTCATGGGGATCGTGTGAGCTTTCCCTGGCTTAGTTCAGAAGCTGTCTGGAAGGGATCTTCCACTTTTCCCTCTTCTCCCCAGCTTCTCCCAGGCAGGTGGCCCTGGGGCTCTGCTCACCAGGCTGTGGGGGTGGTGGCATCGTGTCCCATGCACAGAGTCCCTACCACCAGCGGAAGTGGGCATACGCCCGGTTGGCCTCTGCCATCTTGTGCAGCACGTGTTTCTTCTTGATGATGGGCCCTTCATTGTTGAAGGCCTGGATCAGCTCCTGGGAGAGCTTCTCAGGCATCAGCATCCGACGGTTCTTGTTCTCCCTGCACTCGGTGATTAACCACTTCATGGCCAGGAAGCGCTTCCGATTGTCCTTCAGCGGGACCGGGACCTGGGAAAGGTTTAAACCATAATAGTTACCACACTGCGAGGGTGCAGTAACCTGGTCTTCTCCAGCCATCATACAGGTCCAGCTGGACACACACAGATTTACACCGTGCTGTGGCTGCAGTGGCAGCGTGCTGCTCTCTGCAGTAAGACCAGCTCCCTTACAGCTGATCGGTGCCAATACAACTCCTCTGTAGAAACTGGCCATTGCGACCAGAACGGAAATTCTGATCAGCCTTGGGTACTGCCAGCAGACGGTGGCCTTTGTAAGGACTTCTGGCTTATTTGGGAACTGGATCCAGACTGCTTTGTGCTAGAAGAAGTGGGAGATGGTCACTGTTCCCCTGCACTGAATGACAGAGACGTGCCTCCACACCTCATTTCTCCATCAGGTCTCAAGTGTTGCAGAGCCCACAGAGACAGGTTCTGCTCGTGTTTCAAATATCACACTGTATCTAGTTGACTTTTTCTGCTACGCTGTCCCTCCCCAGGGCTTTGGGGCCTCTACCCACGTAACACAATGCAGCAGAGAGAATGGGACTGGTAGTCCCGGGACTACTGATTCTTTTGCTGCCTGTCACTAGTCTCTGTCTCCTTGGACAACATTTGCTGTGTATTCCTTGTCTGGTCAGAGAAGCAGAGACCACTGCTGACAGGGGAATTACCATGTTACAGGCTGGGGGCCTGATCTTGGACAGTTTCCTAGGTGCTGTTTTAATCCAGATTGCAAAGTGGCTCGCATTCCAAGGAGAGGAAAGCTTGAGCTGAAGGGGTGGAAACCAGTTCATCTGCTTCCCCAGCTAATTCTCTCTTGACCAGATGTGCTCCCAGGCCCCCGCCTCTCACCTGGTAGGTTTTGCCTCCTTTTGTGATGTTGCTGAGCCCAATGATGGGCTGGCAGTTTTTCAGAGCCTGGTGGAAAATGACATACGGGTTGCATTCAATTGTCTCCTTCTCATCTTCTGGAGCTTTGTGGTACTTCTCCAGCTGCTTCCTCTTAATGGCCTCTAGAGTCTAGGGACAAAGACAAGAAAGGAGACATGAACAGCAGATGGATTATCTCACTCCATAAAGTTACATCACTTTTACAAGCACCCCATTTTCCATTGAGCCTGTAGCTGGTTTTCTAGCCCTGTAGGCAAGAGGCCAGTGGGGCATTCTCTTCAGTTTTACTTCACCTTCTTCCAGCTCTTCAGTCTCTTTATTGGACATTGCTTTTGGGGCAAGGAGGCTAAGCAGCGCAGACTTGGGCCAGGAGCTAGGGAGGGCAGGGGCAAAGTGGAGACAGGAATACAGGTCTGTGTGCACTAAGCATCCTCCCCTCCAAAACTGAGACTCAAGAGCCCAGAGCCTGCCCATTTTTCTGTCACAAGGAATCAGCAGTTACTCAGGGAACATTTGGGCAATGTGTGTTCCTGTTTCAAGGGCTGGAACACACCAGATGGGACCACCAGCTAATACCAGTTACTGTACATCAGAGCTGTGTCAAAGCTGCGTCATATAGATGACACATTTGTGGGACTTCACTGGCAAGTTATACAGAAGAAAAGTCA